GGGACTCGCAAAGAGACTGGAGGACTGGTGAGTTTCCTCAGTGCATTTACATTCAGACTAATCAGTGGTAGTGTTATGAGGTAACTAGTCTGCAGTCAGTGACATGCATTCTTCAGGTATTTCATAATGGTACTAAGGAACGGAAATCCCCATATTTGAAAGAATGATGTTGAGTAAATACAACTTTTTCCCATATCATCAAACTACTTCTGTAAAGACACAATTAAATCAACATAATAAAAGTGTCTAGCCCCAGAGATTCATTGGAACAGGAACCGGTCCTGGAAGTGGTCCCCCCTATGGAAATGTACCTTATGGGTTCACTCTGACCTTTTATCCACTGACATCCTGGGGATGACCTTAGGGTCAGGTCAGCACCTTGTCTATTAAACATTCAGACACTTGCTGGGACCAGCACAACACCCACTGTGGTGGTGAACAAATCTGTCACACACGACTAAAAGTTCACTAACATTTAGAGAAATGCTCATTTTCCCAGAAAGAGTGGCGGGAGCAGGGTGTTCAAGATGAGACAGAGCACATAGTTAAGACAAGGTCTTTCTTTAAAATGGACAGGAAGTCAGTAAATATGACACATTAGATTTTCCCACAGTATCTTAGATACAAAGACGGGGGCAGGGTGAGATACAAGGAGGAGAGAGACAGACTGACAAACAAGGGAAAACACTGAATGAGGTATTTGGTATCGCAGTAAATTATCATGAGGCATGTTGGGAATTTGTTCCTGGTCAATCACTTTTATCACCTTAAATGATCCTCAGATGTGCTCCATGGAAAATCACCTTTGTCAACCCTCTCTCCAACCCAAACAAATCCAAGAAGAGGCTGCCCTGGCATTTCCTGAATGGAAACTGGTGAGAACTATGACACAATCTCAAACACACACAACTGAGGAAAATGTCCTAAAACCTTTTAGTGGACAATCAACATTCCACATAGATAGCCAATCTTCTTACAGGAATATAACACAGTAAACAGACAATGTGTTTCAAAACTACACAATAAAAGTCTATAAAAGATTGAGGAAGTGATATAATTTCCAATAAATAATTCTGTTCTTCTTTGCATGCAGCTCTCAAGATGGTCCGGTTAATGTGACAATAATGTAATTGAAAATTCTTATAAGTCTATTTGACTCGGAAGGAACTGAATATATGGGACAGAAGAGGTGAGGCTGGCTGCCTTTTATAGCACAGAAGCACAGTGTTTTGAGTGCAAACTGTTAGTTTTCTTGTTTGAGCTGCAGGAGATCAGATTACTGGTGAGGTTATTTGAAGAATTTTAGGAAGTATGAAAAACATTTGGAGAAGCTGATTCAGATTCATTTGATTTGATTTATTCTTTCAAGCATGTAAAGACAGTTGATATGTCAACACACATAATTTTACACATATCCAACAAATGCTAATCCAATATCAATTTGCTTATACCTAGTACATGCTTGAATGGAGTAGGAAGAAGTCAGACTTATCCAGTCCTACCCCATGACATCATCTTACCATCATTGGTTTACAAGCAGTATCTCTACATAAATAATTATCTTCTACACCACACAAGTAATATACTAAAAAAATTATAACAGAGTGTTAACATTCTTACATAATTACATTCTTAAATAATTATCTTCTACACCACACAAGTAACATACTAAAGAATTAATACAAGGTGTTAACATTCATACACCACACCCACAATGTTCCATCTAATTAATCATTAAGCCAGGCCTATAAATTATATCCCCTCGGTTGGGCTAGCCCAATACTACACAGAAACATCAACCGAGACGTCTCTGTTGCCAGCTCGAAAAATTTTAACTATTTAGACTGTATGAAAGCTCCATTGGTGTGATCTCTATACCCCATCTTATGCACAATTCTAATCGCTCTTTTTTTGTAATATATACAATGGTTATTTGAATGAATAAAGAAAGAAAGAAAGAAAGAGTAGAAATACTGTAGGATGCTCTGAAGTCAGTAGTTTCAGTTTGTTATTTACCAGATGCGTGAAGCCGCCAAGTTAGATTTTACTAACTCCTACATGACAATGGCCGCTACACCAGTGTCACTGTCCACGTGCTTGTTGGAGGATTAAACGGTATGTTAACCAGGAGGAAGATTAGGACCTAAGTGTCCTGGAAAATAAATATCTCCCTTTGAATCTCAACTGTTGCACAATATAAACAGAAATCGTGGCAACACTCACAGAAGTTACAATGATATTGATGAGAAAACAGCGATATGGTAAATGGCATGTTAGCCAGACAAGCTCTGTGAGTTTCTCTGCAAAATGTTCCTCCACTGTTGTGGTGATCCACAGCATCTCCTGAACCCACTCATGTCATGTGCTAAATTACACTGCAAGGATGCATAGAGTTAATTTTTGAAGACACACACAACCCAACACTCCCAAGGAACTCAGGATACAAGAGGTAGGAATATATTGTCAACTTAACAGCACCAGTGGATGACAGACTGGACAATGTAAGGAGCACTAGGCTTAGATAACAGGCAGAGTGTCGGCCCACTGCTCTGTAACTAGAGCTTATCTCACTCCTCACACTCTGGCTTTATTTATACTCACACTTCCTCAGTCTCATCTTCTGCCTTTCATCACAACATACTCACAGTATGTAGTCCCTTTGTTGCTGTTACAGTTACAGCAATAGAGTATGTTTGGTAGTTGAGATAGTGTATGAAACTGGTTTTTTTGGACATCATTGCTGAGTCTTTCTCACTGCACAAACACAAATGGTGTTACTACCCAAGAGATTGCAGTTAAAGGTGCTACATAAAATGTTTGATACATGGGAGAAATGTGGTATCTTCTACACTACACTATACACTTCAATTAATATTGTGTGAAGTAGGTTCAGGATTTTGCAGAACGCCTAATTACTCAAATGTACTCTATGAAGTGTTTTTTTACTATTTCACTTTTTACTTTTACAACTGGTGTTTGGTTTACAAAAAAACTACAACCTGATATGGATCTCAGGCCTTTCAGCTGATACTCCCAGTAAAACCACAACATCCCTACCTTCTAAATGTGGAAAGCTCCTGCACTATTACAAGAGAAAATTATTTATTCATCTTATTTATTTATTCTTCCATTCATTCATTATCTATACCACTTATCCTGTAGAAGGGGAGATGCAGGAGGGATGGAGCCAATCCCAGCTGACACTGGGTGTCCACCCTGGACAAGTCACCAGTCTGTCACAAAGCTGACATGCAGAGACATACAACCACACACACTCACACCTACACCTAGGAAATTTAGAGCCACCAATCAAATTAATGTGAGGAAGTCAGATGTGCTGGGAGAAAACCCACGCAGGCACAAGGAGAACATGCAAACTTCACACAGAAAGGCCCACAACCTTCCTGCTGTGAGTTGATAGGGCTAATCACCCCGTTTATTCTTCCATTCATTATCATTTCATAAAGCGATACATGTCTCATCTCTGCTGGCCATTGACCCATTAAATTTGCTTTTCATTCTACATTGACTTTATTCAGGATCCTATTTCCCAGTTGGAAAGAAACTCTTAAACATTTTTGGCTGACAGGATGAAATATATGAGGGCCTCTCACATTTGAGCTTGATTAATAATCTTCAGCCGTTATACACATGGACTGACAACACAAGGGACAGATGGTGAATTGGACCCAGAAAATGATTTCAACTTCTCTGAGTGGGCTGTGAGGAGGGTGCTGCCTCTTTCTCTGCTGTGTAAGTCTTCATGACTGCTTATTGCTCTCAGATGATAAAACCAGACACAACTGCAGCACACGGGGCATCCCAAAATAGCTCTCAATGAACTAAAAACGTTATTCCAAGTCAAAAAACCTTATAGAACGGAAGTGAGACTGCTTAAGCTGACAGTGAGTCATCTCCCATATCTTTTTTTAAAGAAGTGAATAAAATGAGCTCAGTCCCATAGCTGCTTTGCAGGATGATGCACATCCTTTCTGTCTACTGTGAGAAACATACAGGTCCTGGGAAGATTTTGAGACTGTTTTGGGAAATGTTTTCCACCCAAAGACCCCCCAAGCCAAATACTGTCTAAGGAGAATCCAAGCTGAGAGAGACATTTACAAACTGTCTAACTAGACTTAACAAAGGTGTAAAAAATTCGAGCAGAATTCTCTTGTTGTTCAAAATGTAATGTTTTCCCTACGTGCTGTCAGATACAATGCATTCCCAATTCGTTCCTCTGGGGGTCTTATGACAAACACTGACTTACAGAGATGAAACGATGCACATCTATTGATGATTTCCAGGTCAAGTGCCCCAGTACTGAGAAATCTAACTAAAATTCAACACCAATTTTTGCAACTTCCAGCCCATTAAGTGAGCTGACACTGTGAGCTTTCAACAGACGCATGTGGGAACCAAACCAGTCACTCAGCAAATCCTTCAAACAAAAAACACACACAGAGCAGGGCAACACATGTGCACAGGGTTTTAGAGATCAGAAGGAATTTGGATCACATGTGTTTGAATGTTAGGAGCATTCTAAAATGTGTGAATGAGGCAAACTAAACAAAATATTAAAGACTTATGTTCTTATATACAAAACGTACAACATTTTACAGTCTTTTTCTAATGTCCCAGTGGTCTGTTTCTGAGTGGCCTGAGATGATAGTCTCACTTCCAAAGGCTTGTGTGTTAATGAGGCTCATAAAGTTTCACTTTATGAGTTTTCAGCTCTGTGTGAGGAGCAGCCCTCTCAGGTTACAGCCTACAGTAGGTCAGAGGGGGCTGTGTATAGAAATAGGTGGGAGCTGTTACCATGACATACATGTACAAGCAGGTGGCCTACAGGAACATTCTGGTGGATGAGCAACAGTGACAACAAAGTAGAAATAAAAGAAGAACATCACAGTGTAAATTCAAAGCTTGCATTGAAAATCTTTCAAAATAAAGTTAAAAAACCAAAATAAAGTCCAAGCTAATGGAGCAGCTGCAGAACTCACCATGTTTGTTAAGTGGTTCAGGTCAGTGTCCACACAGAAAAATAAGCCTGTCCAGAGGGTCAGTTTTCAGTGGACCATCACAGTCCTAAGTGTGTGTGAAAACTCTTGGGGATTTACTCCTGTTCTGTGTCTCACAAGCATATTGTCTGAGCTGTCACGGAGAACCAGACTGTTTTACACCCTGGGCGGGGAAATCGAGCCCCGTGTCACTGTCAGAGCTGCTCTCCTGCAACACCATTGGCTGAAAACAGACCCTCTTCTCTGTAGCTGCCCTACCCTTCTGTTTTTGTGACACTCATTACTCTTTTCCCCTTGCATCTTTCTGATAAAGCAGAAGGATATCAGTGGTCAGTACTCTTCCAAGTAACTGAGGGAATGTTTTAGCATCACGTTTTGTTTCCTCTTTTCTTCAACTTTTGACACCTTCCTCCATGTGTTATAATTTATATATGGCAGGTTTGGAAGGGTAGTAGTGGTTGCGGGGGGTGTTCAAAGCAGAAATTCTTGTGGGTTTCCTTGCTGTTGTCTGGACAACACAGACAAGAGTCTGGGAGTTGGGCTCAAAGTTGGGGAATGCAGAAAGGGTGATGGGGCACAGTGACCTTCCAGTCAGAGGGTTCAGCCCAAAGTGGACGAAGAAAATCAGGAGCGGTGACAAGTTTGTCAGTGGTTTTTCTGAATTCTTGAGGTCACTGAACACAAACAAAAAATTTGCTAAAAAAAAAACAAAAACAAACTAATCCTGCAATTGGAACTTTTTCTGACAAACAATAAGCAAATGCATACAATGCCTATGGCAGTGTGCACGTTATGTACGCCACTAACCATGTGTGCTCGCTGCATGTTGCTTGCTTTTTGCAGCAGCAACTGTGCTCTTAAAATATCTACAGGATATTACTATAGCTGTGGTTAGTGGTGCATATTGCTAGGGGGATTTTTCACCATCAAAAACAAATAGGAGCCTTCTTCTGTTTAAATGTTTAATAAAAATTTGAATTACAACAAAGAACATGGACACAATATAAAAGTAGAAAAGATCGACCAATTCTCTGGTCAATCATGAAATAAAACTGAGAAATGAGAGATCAGAGTGGTTCAACTCAAGTTTCTAAGCAGTGAAAAGACAGCCGCACTTTCAGTTCAAATAGACAAACATTTATCATAACGATGATATCAAAGAGTTTTTCATTCTGAGTCCTCGTATGTACATTGTAACAGATGTGTCTTCTGATAATCAATCATCCTGTTACTCCCTTTAAAAGATCACTTTCAGTGGAAGTGATGGGGGACAAAAAGTCCTGATTCTGTGCAAAAAATATATTCAGTAGTCTACCTGAAACTAATATGGGGTTTAGCAATGTGAACTGATCAAACCAAGTGGATCTCTTCCAAAGATAGACTTTTTAGAACAGAATTCCTGCTTTGTGTTTCCCTGTTGAGCTGTGGTGGTGGGGTAGTAACAAAAAGAGAAATTTGGAATAAAAACTGTAATGCTGGAAAATATCCACTTAAAGCTAAAGCCTCATATTAACTTCAGATACATTTGCAATGTATTTTTGTACAAAACAAGGACTAAGTTCTGATCCCTTTCTCTACACTGAAAGCACTTTAGGAAGGGCTGTTTTAATGCAAGCATGAGCAATGATGACAGCAATGATGACCTCTCTCAATATACATATGGGCCCCTGGTGCAATGACAACTGTTTTCTTAAGTACTAGACTCACAAATTCCACAGCACAGTCTGAAATGAAATGAAAATGAAAGATACCACAGGTCATAAGAAAGCAATGAGAGAAGGGAAGTCACGGAAGACTGCAGAGGAGTCAGTCAGTTACTGAGACAGCAGAGCCTTGTATCCTGTTTGGTTCCCCGTCAGGCAGGAGGGGATGGGGAGGGATGCAGCAGAGTGGAAACATAGAACCAGAACTTGTCTCAGTCTGTGGTGGTGCGGCGGTACCAGAAGCGAGCCCTGAAATCATCGCTGCAGGTCATGAAGCCTGGGTTGGTGGGCGAGTGGACGATGCAGCGGACGATGTTGTTGTGCCCAAGAGACAGCAGGTTTTTCCTCTCAGCTGTGCGAGAGTCCCAGCAGCACAGGCTAATGGTGCGCTCGTCTGGCAGCAGCACGTAGTCCTCCGTGTGATTGAACACACCCTGTGTGCGATGCATCTGACGGCCGCTCAGTCCTGCCCCTGTAGCAGTAGACATGTCAATAGCTGGTTTAACGTCATCACTACCACCAAACCTTTTAAATCACTGCCATCATTTAAACTGATAGTTTGATAAGCCTAGTGCCCCTTCAGTTACTGTTGCTATGCTTGTCAAAGTTTCCATTCACGCACAGCACATATGCAGCTTACTGTGAGGATGGTAGCAGATTTATCATTGAAATTCACTGTAATTTTCCAAATGGTGAATCCTTTTACTTATCCAAACAAGCTTCTCAGTATAAGCAAACTGCTGATGAAATAACTTAATGGCACTGGCAGATTTTCATCAGCTACAGCTAGCTAGCTGATCAAGCTAACAGTATCACATGACACACATTTATCAAGTTTGTGTGCATTTGTTTTTTGGCTGAGTCTGGGTCGATTGTCTTGCTTTGTGGTTTTACTTTTATATTAGTTTTGCTTTATGGCTTTCTTTCTATGTACCTTTGTGTTGACATGCCTGTGTTCACTGATTACACCACATGCACTCACTGTCAGCAGAATGGGAACAACAGGAAAAACACCAATTACTCCAGTGTGCTCATGCATTATTCCTAAGTGGTTAGTCCTACTGCTAACCTTGGAGCCACAACAAATAAACAGCACAAACTAACCACTTTTGTAGTGAGACCTATTTGTATGCACTATAGAAGGAGGTGAGGAAAGAGATGACTGATCACAGAGATGGTGATGGAAATCAACAGGATGAGGGGCATAACAGAGCTGGGGAGCAAGTACTACACTCTGGCCTGTGGTTTATACGAGGACAATAAGAAATCCCAATTCCGTTAACAGCATTCACATTTCTCTCACTTGCTCCTTTTCACTGCATCTTAGACCCTCACTTAGCCCTACCTCCTCAATTTTGGACGATCACATGTAGTGGTAGAGATGTCCCAATTCTCTGTAGGATTTAGGGGTAGGGAGTAGATGCTACACACCTCAAACACATCCACCAATATTCCCTGCATATTCCTACCCTTGCATTTCTCTCATTGTTGAAATCGCCACAGCTGAAGACAGCATTGTGTCACTCAAAATTTCCAACAACTTAACCATTATCATTAACTACTGATGACATGCAGAGGTCTTGAAGGGCTGTCCCATTTCATAGGGATCACTCAAGAGCTGAAGAAATGTCAGCTGGGGCCATGAATAATGATGGGGAAGTGCTCACACAGAAACATGCCATCTTTGTTGTGTGGGCTCACTTTGGCTTCAGTAAGCAAAATGTGAAAAGCTGTGGTATCTAAAAGAAGCATGAGAATGTTGCTCCTCCACCTGAAACAGAGCCATGTCATTTCACATGGCTAAAAAAAGTACCAATAGGAAGTCACAACCTCTCACCACTATACGAGGGAACCTGTTGAACAAACGTCTATTCCACAAACGGCGAGTGTTAATGCATACCCTAACATGTTCTGCAGATGGAATGAGATAACAGAATCCATAAAACTGCTTTTTGTATATTATTATTTTAAAAGTTGTAAAAGCCTATTTTACTTTGGCTCTCTAAGTTTAGCAGACCAGTAGCTAAAAGGCAGCTAAATTAAATGTTTTTCAGAATCCTAGTTAGGGATTAGGTTTGCTAGCATTTTATCAAATCCAAATCTATTATCAAAACTTTTTAAGTAGTTTGTTAGTCACATAAAATGGTTAATTGGCACTCTGAATCTGAAAGGTCACAGAATGTGGCGTACAACCATATGAAAATGCAACAAGTTCTTTCTAACATGTTGGTAAATATTTAAACAAAGGACTTGATGTTCCCCCCTTTCATCGTCAGTACCCTTGTTTTATTGATTTTGCAATTAGCCAGTCTGCCATGTTTACCGTTAACAAGAGCATCACTTACACATCAGTCTTCTCCTTGCCGATGGCTGTATTATCAGAGAGAGACACACAAGAGAACTAAACATAAAACATGAATAAAGATTCAACTGGGCTATGTAGGCTGCACGGCTTAATGGATCCAGCTAACTTACCAACTTGGTACTGAATCCAAAATGAAAACTTGCAATCAGATCCTATCTCTAGTTGTAATACAGGACTTTCTTTTTATTGTTTAGGAAGAAAAAAGAATTAGATGTATACTTTGAGATGTGGAATCCTGAGCACAGGTGTACTAAAAAAAAAAAAAAAAAAAAGGGATGAGAAGGTCTGTCCAAACCTTTGACTGGTACTGTGCAGTACAGTTACCTAAATATTGAGTAAGCATGTATATCATGCTTTGAAATAACAGCTGTAAGCTATTACATTTGGCAGACCTCATAAATTCTCGCTATCAGCTTGCAGAAAGCAATTCAACTAGAGAACAGACGTTTATTTTGGAAACGTTTTTGTCAAAATACTCAGGGAATTAATATTAATTGGTGAATGATGATATGACCTGACAAAAGTGTTAGCTAAAATGAGAAGCTATTTTGTGCACTGATCTTTGCTAATAATAAAAGAGATATTACAGATTTGTTAGTGTTGGGAGTTTAGCAAATCTGTGTATTTTCTCAACCTTTGAGTCAGAATTAGGACACTCACATACCAGTGAGCACAAGTACATCAACACACTAGTTTTAACAGGCATGAAAGCAAAATGATGCAATGTAAAGCCCAGCTGTGGTAAAGGAGAGCAGCATTGCAACACAACAACCACAAAAATAAAAAAGACTTGCAAGGCCCAGTTATTATTTCTAGTTGTTTTATGGAGGGGTCATGTCTATATAAACAATGGCTCCAATTTCTGTTCTGTTCACCTGATGTGGACATAAACACCCTCAAATTAAAAAGAGTCAGCATTTAACCCTCAAATCCAATAGTGCTGGAAAACCCAACATGCTGGAGTACAGAGCCAACACGAAGGAAAAGTGTCACTAATCTAATACATTTGCTCACTGTTGTCAACTCTATGGTGTGTCTCAGCAGCTATGAAGTGTTCAGTGCAAGATTATGGAATTAAAAATAAACAAACAGTTTCTACAGTAAGACTTGGTCAATAGCTCTCAAGAAATTTGGTGACCAAAAATCCCCAGATTACCAGAGGATTTGTTTTGCTTTTGTCACTCAGACCACACTGTCGTTAAGTGCAGTGTTGCAGCCGCTGATCTTTTTCTTATTAATTATTACTCTAAGAAATCCTTCTGCAGACGAGGCACTTTTTGTCTTCTGGTGTAAAATTGACAAACAAAATGTGCACTGTTTATTCACAAACAAAGAAGGAAGGAAATGTCAGTTACTGCAGGAAATGACTGCAGATGCTGAAAAGCACATCATCGCTCACTGACTTTGCCAGTCTGTTTTGCAGCAGTTATTAGAAGAGCAACAGCAGAAGCTGTAACATTGCACATTTCTGTTAACGCAGTCAGCGTGATGAAACTGCTACTATGTAATGTGTCATAAGATTTATGAAAGTTTCAATGGAAAAAGCACCACGCCTCTGCATCAACACCAGCATGTTTGAATAAAAGCTGAAACCTACTATTTATGTGAAAGTAGGGGTGGGCGATATGACGATATTATATCGTGGACGATATTAAGGACTGGACGATACACTTTTTCAACAATATCATAGTATCGTCATATGTGCACGTTCTATCCATTGTAGTTCTATTCATTCATTCTAGATCCCGCCCTCAACATGGCGCGCCACCATGTTAACAAGCTCGTATGAGATTAAACAACACCGTCAGTGACAATGGAGGATAATGCGGAGGAGTTGGTGTCTAAAAAAAACTCGACATCAGTGATATGGAAGTGGTTTGGTTTTTCTCCAGCAGACACAGGACAAACCACAGTTATTTGCAAGTGTTGCAGTGAGCAGATTCGCACGTCGGATGGCAACACAACTAACCTTTTTTTCCAACCTTAAAAGAAAGCATCCGAAAGAATATGCCGACTGTCACGGTATGAAGGGACTGCACGCGAGTAGATCAGCAGGTACAACCAAGCAGCCAGAAGCAAGGCTTAAACAACCAACTTTAATGAAAGAAGCGTTTGAGAAAGGAACTCCGTACGACAGAACGAGCAAGCGCTGGAAAGATGTAACTGACGCGGTGACATTTTACCTGGCCAAAGACATGATTCCCATAAAGACTGTGGAAAATGAGGGCTTTAGACAACTGCTCAAAGTCGTAGATCCACGTTTCCAAATAACCAGCCGCAAATATTTTTTGTGAAAGGATTCTGACCTATAAATGCACTTCCTGCTCAGGTTGGAGTTTGACACTATATGTGTTATAGTAGCAGGTGATGTTACTGTACTACTGAAAACAAATGTATGTGACAAGACAACAGGCCAGTTATTGTAATGAAGAGCATTTACACATAATATTAATATACAGTTTAGAGGTAAAACATAACTATTTCAGTCCCATCAACTGTGACTGAACTCTCACCGGCTTTACAACAGTTAAAAAACACTTCCTCCCTAAGTGGGGCTAGGGGTCACTGATGTTAAATGCAGTCTTCATAGGCCAGCGAACAGCCTCTCTAGCAGCACGCAAATGTCTTCAGTTAATGTCAGTTTAGTGAGCTTGAGTTGAAAAGACAACGCTTTGCATCTTTCTGAAGTTGCATCTTACAAAAATGCCATAAAAAGGCCTTTTGCATTTACATTTACTTGTTGTTTTAAATACTATCTTCTCTTCACCGAAGATGTAAGCAGTTTTTGTTACAGGCTAATTCATCAGTGCTAAAACCATGGAATTAGCCCGCATTCAGTGACTTTCAAAGAAGTGAAAAAAATGCAGCCCTCTCCATTCATTTCTATGTGGCACTGTGTTCACCACGGCCGACACTTCACCACAGGTGGTGCTGGCAAAACATAGCAGCCCCATGTAGCGAAAAAGGTGGTTTCAACTTTCACCACACCAGACGGTGATATGAGCCGGTAAACATGCTGCGTTGGTCAATCACATATGAGGGACAGTTGGGGACGTGGACTCCCACAAGAAGAAGACTCTTTTGTTTACCTTGTTAGCATGAGCCTTCACTGCGAGTCACTCTCAAATTTGGGCCAGTAAATGCACCATAACGACACACTAGAGCTGCACCCGACCAGAAAAATTACTTGTATAGGTTTGTATTGCCCACATTCATTTTTAAGCACACTTGTGCGCAACATTTTTTACAGAAATAACATTAAACATACAGTTTAATATATATATAAGGCTCAGGGGAGAATTAAATTATCTGGGAGATGACAATTTTTAGACATAAGATTACTTGGAACCTAACAAAAGAAATGCATCCCTTTTCAAACCGCATTGAGCCTACTGATTATAGGCTTCTAAAAATGGGAGTGGGGTTTGACAGCATTCTATTCAATCTGAATCCATCATCAAATTAGTCATGGAAATAAAGTAAGTTAACAACAACAACTTATATGATCTGCCATTTTCATTTTAACCAGAAAGAAATGTAAAATCTTAATAATATTCCCAAACATTATGCACAAATGGATGAAGAAATGGAATTTAGCCACTATCACTCTTTTATCATTTCTCTTACTGCACGTATGGATTCACTGCTAAGCAGTCAAGACTGGTAGAAGAAGGGGTCCAGTTTTAAGGCTGCCATCTCTGCCAGACGCCTTTTGGCCATTATAGGAACCCACCGAAACATGTTTCGCTAAGTGACGCTGGTCACGGGTCCTGCGTTTGTTTCCACTACACTCGGCCCACTTTGGATGTGCATTCCAGGAGCTAAATTTCAATACCCTTCAGGAGGTAGTACTAAAATCAAGCACCAGGACCACAAGGAGTAGGGGGTGTGTGCGCCCAGAGCAGTCACTGGTGATTGGTTAAATGACTGCATCTTCACTCCTAACTCAAGCATTAGCATTACAAGCATCTTGTGTAAACACACAGCACACTGCATGTGTGAGAGAGAAGCAGCCCCTCCCTCCTCTAAACAGAGGTCGACAGAGAAAATACAGTGGAAAAACAAAGCAGAATGGTGACGGTTAAGTGAAGCACGGGGTATAATGCTCACTAGGTTCTGATGTTCCTCCTGTGGTCTGAGAACCAATTTAGAACTGACATCCACAGAACTCAGAATCACTCACACCAGAGTGTCCAAATAATTTTTCACATTCACACACTAACATCATCTGGCAAAATAACACCTGTAGTTCACATAAAATAATAGTCATAGTCACCTGTGTACTTGACCAGTGTCCGGCCTGTAGAGATCTCCCACAGTTTCACCACTGAGTCTTTGCCACTGGACAAAATGTACTTGGAGTTCTTGGAGAAGATGGCAGAACAGACCTCGGCACCATCATGGGCCTTCTCAAAAGTGGTCACGCAGCGGTTAGAGACACCATCCCACAGTTTGATGCTGCCATCCTTGCTGCAGGTAACATAGCTGTTAGCAGTGGGATTGTAGCTGACACCACTGATGGTGTCTGTGTGCTGGTCCAGTGCGTTGCAGGACACAAAGCACTGGAAGGTGTTGACATCGTAAAGGCGAAGGGTGGGGTGCTGTGTACCCACCAGCAGGAAGTCACCTGATGGGTGGAAGGAGATGGAACGCAGCATTTCTGCTTCCTATAGGGACACAGGCAAAGACAAGATAAAAGTGAAACAAAATTCTCACACTGATCAGAATATTTTTGATTTGGCCAAATATTTGGCTAATGATTAGGAGGTTGCACAGATTAGTCAACTTCACCATGCAGGGCTGATGTTTTAAACACAACGTCAACAACATACCAACAGCCGCACCTAATGTAACAAAGGCTGATCTTGTGGCACAGAGAGTTGGTGACTTTCTCCATGATTACATCATTAGCGACTAGTTGGCAACTTTCATAACAGATCAGCAGACTCAAAAAAATTGGACACAGAAAATCTGCCTACAGAGGCTGACCTGTATATATTTAAATGCTCTTTTTGCAGAGGGCTTTGAGTAGTCAAACAGTTTAAGGGTGTAATCTCTTGAGCCAGAAGCCAGAATCTGTTCATTCGGATGAAAGGCGAGACAGGTGACTTCGTCAACGTGGTCATATAATGTCCGAATCACAGGGTGATTTTCCATGTTTTGCTGTGCTGTCTCGTTCATCATCACCTGACACATACAGAAAAAGGGAAAAAGGCAAACATGAGCAAGCTGGCTTCAAAACATCCACTGTCCCACATTCTCCAATCTGCCTTACCTCAATGGGCATAGCACTTTTGGCCAGCATGCGCTCAGTATCCAGGATCTTGATGGAAGCATCAGCAGAGCCAGTGGCAATCAGCTGGCCATCACGACTGTATGTGGCAACACGACATGGACCCTTGTGAGATGTGACATAGCAGGTCTCATACTCTGATGCCTCTGGAGACATGGTCTGGACATCAGCATCAAATTCCAAATCAATGCCCACTCCAGGAGCCACTGTATCCGAGCGCCCAATGGCATACTGAACTGCACTGTCATCATTCTCCATCCCTGAAAGAATATGGACACTGTGCACTTAGGGTCGCTTTACCGGCCCCCTTAACACACACACACACTCACTCACTAAATAGTGCATTGATGTTGTTGAAGAAGCATAATACTGGTGAATGTGAGCTTTGTACGGTGCAGGAAACCATGGAACATGTTTTTATTTGATTTTATTATTTTTTTTATGTTGTCCAAGGTTCAGGCAGGAGAGGGAGTTATTTCAACTTGCACTTCAAAGTGGCGGCATGAACTTCAGTTTAACAGAGATTTTGCAAAGGCGCTCTGGGGATGTAGGGAACAGAGCATTCTTTAGGTTTTTAGCGAGTAGGAGACAGAGTCATTTCCTCGGGCTCGAGTCAGGGTCGCGTCAGGAAGGGTGTCCGGTGTAAAACACGTGCCAAATGCTGTGGCGACCTCTAACGGGAAAAAGCCGAAAGTGACATACATAGACACAGTAAAATAATATAGTATAATCTGGGTGAGATCAGTTTTATATCAGTGATCCACACACCAGTCTAGAAAGTGGCGGTAATGCACCTCAAGTTGTTTGCCAACCGCCATTAAGTAGTAGAAGAAGAAGAGACAACACTTACCTATTTTTGCCAGCTGCATCAGCTGCTCAGAGGGCGATACTACACTCTGGGGTTTGACCTCACTGATGAGACTGTTAGCGATGTTGGTGTATCCATCATAGAGCAGCTGGCTTATGATGAGCTTATACAAGTGCTGTCGGTCCTTCAGAGTTGGTTTGATACGATACATGTTGGGTCGGTGTGACCAGGACCAGGCCGCCAATTCTTAACGTTACAGCTTAGCAGACTGTAACAAAAGACACCATGTCAACTATTAATCTTATGAATACGTTGTCTGCGTGTTACCTCTATTTTACAAGAAGAGAATTTTAGCTACTTCACTAGCTTATCTAAGTTTCAAGCCTCGACCACTGCTGTGGCCATAATGAGGTTATGGCCAGCTACAGTGAATTTGTGCTTAGCGGTGCTGCTACTAACGTTAGCTTTATTGCTCTAAAATGAAAACAACAGTAGCTACGCGCAAGTACAACCCTGAACCGTGTGCGTGTGTGTGCACTGCAACAGCAACAACAACAACATGATGTGCTAGTAAACAGTAGCAGGCGGCATAAAAATAGCATTTTTAATATCAAAATATTAAACCTCTAACCCTTTCCAAATTTCCAATGGAGTCCCTGGACGAAGCGTGCGATACGCCGTACGTAGCTTCTTCTTCTTTCGGGTTTTACGACAGCAAACATCCTTGAGGTTGCATGACTGCCTCCTATTGATTATAAACCACCTCAGCGTCCATGCATTTTAAATCCGTACATACTGCATAGTCCAGTCGCTCCCAAATAAATCAAACTGCTTTCCTGCCGTCTACACTATCTCAATTATATTACTCACAGTGACTTCTACTAATCCTATATTCTGTAGCTTTGTGATCACTTTCCTCTTGTCTTCACTATATCTTATGCACCCTACTAATTTGTATTTTTAATTTTGCAAACCTTTATTAGAACCAAAGTAACATCAAAAGAGAAAGAAAATGAAGTGCAGGGAGTATTATAAATTACAAATGTAAATAACAAGCTTACAGATGTGGAATAACATCAATTATTCATTGAAATATTTGATTTGATTTGATTTATTCTTTCAAGCATGTAAAGGCTCTATGTATCATCTGTACAAATGCTTCTTGCTAAACCAGGACCAACATTCACAAAGAACCTATTAAACTTATCTACTACATCCTCCAATCTATTAACCGGTGTATCATTATCCATAAAATATTGAGGGTAGTTACTCTTGCTGGAACTGTTTCTAATCA